AGTGTAACACATTTGTGCCTGGTGATGCAGAAAGCCACACACATGAATTATGAAGGGTTTTCCTTCATGTGTAGGCACCAGGGGATACATGTATTATGTGACTATATTTTGTACAGCTTTGTCTCTATCCAGACCACACATTAGTTAGCTTGTGAACTTGAAAGGGAATAGCTTTCACCAGATAGGTCTCTTTCCTTCCATCCAAATGATACATATATATGTTTGTATTGAACAGAGAAGCAGTACAGCACAAACATCCCTTTCTTAAGAAATGATAAATTAGAGTATATCAAATCATCTAATGAATTAACGGGTCAGGCAATGTTTCACAGCTGTAATAAAACGGAACACTGAAAGACTATGGGTTTGGGATAGGTGCTGAGTTTGTTTTTTCAGTAAATTCAAATGAACATTACAATGAAGAATATCTGCAAAATTACCAAATTTAATGTATCAAGTCAGCTCTTACCTCCTTTGCTCCTTTTTTACCTCTTTCCTACCACTACCTCCATTCTACCAGGAATCTAATCTAGACTGTCTGTGAGCCGCCTACAAAGATTCATGCTGTAAAAACACTCCCCCACTCTGTCTGTTCTCTTGCGTATTGCTTTGTATTGTACCTACTTGCGCATTTTTAGACTAGAAGCTGCAGGGAATCTGCTAATTGCTGAGCACATGCACACGTTGTACATCACTGTGTACATTTTTGGCACATTGGATGAAGTCTATCCCTGTGCCAGAAGGCCTGTGCTTGTGAATAATGGAATTTGTGCTAAATGCTATATGGCTGCCCATATACCATAACAGCTTGTATGGTGTTTGTGCATCTAGGATGAGCAGAAGGTTTAGCTTTGGAGTTACAGTCCTGAGTGAGAGCAATCCCCTTCCCTAGCAGTCTGAAAATATTTTTGCAGTTTCACTAATCTTTTCTGGATAGAGATACCATAAATGTTCCCAGACTTTCTTTACTTGTGCAAAAATCCCATTCCAGTTGGTTGGATGAGTAGTAATGAAAGGTTTAGATTATTAATATTGCTTTTCTTGATGCCTACTTGACAGTTTCTCTGTATTTTTCTTTTTCCTCCCCAAACTCCCCTTTAGGTGGTTTTGACAAATCAAATGACGACAAGGATTGGACAAAGTCAGTCCATGTTGGTACCTGCTTTAGGTAGGTGTTTAGCCTTCAAGTGGAAAATAACATTATCCTTTGAATCCTTGTTTTTTCTATTGGGCATCATGAACAAAAACCTGAAAATGTTGGTTATTATTTCTGTGGCTGCAGGAAAATGCTGAGCATTGGTAGTCAAATTACCTGAATCTGTAACAATTTAGTGCTGGTGGTAGAGATTAGGGATGTGAAGGGCTAGTTGACTAGTAGACAATCAATAAGCAAATGCAGGATAGTTGACTAGTCACTTCCCCCTACCTTGCTGCCGCTATCAAAAAGAGGCAGCGGTGTGGGGGGGGGGAGAAAGAGGAGGGGGTTCTTCAAGGCAGCAGCACTGCGTGGAGCCTGGGGCCAGACCCTGGGCTCCACGCGGTGCTACCCCTTTGAAAGGCCATGTGCAACCCAGGGCCAGCTGGGGTTTCCCCAGGCTGCATGTGGCATTTCAAAACAGCAGTGTTGCATGGAGTCCTGGATCAGCAGAGGAGTTGCTAAACTTCACAGGCAGAGGCATCCTGTCAACTAATTGAATTTTGCATCGACTATTCAATTAGTCGATATTTAACATCTATAGTAGAGACACCTGAAATACATCAAGCCATGTCATTATTTTCATTACAGACCTCTGCTGTTGCTAGTAAAACTAATTCTAAGGTCATAAATGACCTCTGAGATCTTAGCTCAAAAAATGATTTTTTACTTTTACAATTTTATTTTGAAAACTATCTGTAACATAATGTGTTAAGTTGCAGATTGGGAATATTACTAATTTGACTTTTTTTCTCCCCCCTCTCCTTTTTTAATTCCAAGTAACGTTATATACTTAAAACCTGAAAATATACTTGTAAGGGCTCCTTAATTTGACTGAATTGCTTCTTAAAGGAGGATGTATAGACTCGGCCTCTATTAAATGGACACAATAGCTAGTTCCCAGTAGGGATGTTACATGTAGGTTAATTGAATACTCTATTAACCTATGAATTCTTATCGGTTACTCAACTATTCTATAGTCCCGGGAGTGGGGCCGGCAGCCAGTGTGCTCTGGCCCCACTCCCGAGAAGCCCCCTGCCATTCCACAGAGGCAGCAGTGTGGGGTGCCAGGCAGGAGATGGTCTGCAAGGGGAGCCAGTTTATAAACCAGCTCCCCCCACGGACCAGCTGCCTCTCAGAGGCAGCAGCGTGGGGTGACAGCAATCCACGTCCAGGATGGGAGGAGCACTGAGGTCCCAGACATGGTGCAAACTGGAACTGAGTTAGGCTGCCTGCCCACCTGGTTCCTAATACACTTTAAATGCAGAGCCGCAGCAGGGGTAGGTCCTGAACCCGGCATGAGCCAGGACTGAGCAGGGCTACTGGCCAGCCTGTGAAAAAATTTACAGGAGGGATGTGTGCATGTAGTCTATAGCATTAAGCTTTTGCTCATCTGTTAATCAACTACACTATTACATCCCTAGTTTCCAGAATCTGAAACTGTCTTGCAGCGTGTTCCCAAAAAACCTTGCTTTCATTTTCTTCCCCTACAACTGATAGAGAACTTCCCATCCCCACCCCTATACATATATTCAAACACCGTGGCAAAGTAAACTTCAGAAACTAGTAGTTTCCAAAAGTATTTCAGATTTGGTTGCATGTATTGGAACCATTGGATAATATGTCCTTCACCCTGTATAATCATGAAAAGGTGGGGAGATTCTGTATGACACTTCATTTTGATTATCCTATTAGCAGAGTAAAAATTCCCATACAAATTACTCTGGTCTATCCCATATGCAGGATGATCTGTATGGGACTGTGGAACAGTTTGCCTGAAGGATGGAGATTTGGCTTAATTAAGTTTTAAATTTCCTGTCTTTCTTGGTTTATATTGTAACTTAATATTATACTATTTAATATTGTAATTAGAGTAGAAATATTCTCTGGATACTTCACCTTCTGTTAAACAAGTAATGATTTCCTTGATTATTGAGGGGGAAGAAGGAGGGAAAGATATTCCCAATGAATATTCAGCCCTTGAACCATTTGACACAGATGTAAGATAAAAGAACAAATATAAGGCATCTCTTGGACAACATGGATTTTGAACTACTGTGTATGCAGATAAAGACCTTGGTTTCAGTATCTGACTCTGTCATCTTTACATTGTGTTCTCAGCTGTATTCATTTTTAAGGGAGCATTTCTGGCTACGAAATGAATTAAAGCTAACAGATTTAACTTTGTTTAATAGCCAGTATTTGGAAAATTGCTCTGATTAGATCATAGGGACAGTGAAGAATGCGGAAGAATTCCATTTAGGTGATATTCCTAAGGTGTCACATGCTGTCTTGTGCACAGTTTTGAAATTGAGATTCTTTTTGTTGTGACCTACCTTCCCCATTGCAAAAGACCTAAACTGTATGTAATTTTGCCCTAAATGTGTGTGCAGCCATGGAGACTTGTTCAGCTAAACTGGACCTTCTGCTTCAGTGAAGGTTTGCCTCCAGCTGGTGAAATATTTAGGTTGAGAAGTCCTCTGCTCAGCCACACTTCAATTTTAAGCAGCTGCAGCTCAGAGGCTGAGGATTCCAAAGTGGTACAAGACTGAGACCAATGTGCATTTACTCTGGAGATCCACCTATTTTAAGTGTTGCATTACAGATTGAAGAGAGTGATTTGAAGGCACTCTAGATCAGTGATTCTCAGCCTTTTCACACTACTGTACATCTTTCAGTACCCTTAATTTCACCTCACTCAAAAACTGCTTGCTTATAAAATCAGATGTAAAAATACAAAAATGTCACGAATGCTACTGCTTAACAAATTGCTTACTTTCTTCTTATTACCATATAATTGTAAAATAACTTGATTGGGATCTAAATATTATACTTTCAGTTTATAGTGTATATAGAACAATATAAACTTAAGACCTTTTAGTTTGTTCTGACTTTGCTGGTGCTTTTTATGTAGCCTGTTTTGGATGAACTGATGTACTCTCTGGCAAACATCTGTGTCCCTCCAGAGGTATGCCCCTTGGTTGAGGATCTTTTATCACAGTTATATTGCTCCCTTTCCCCCTCTGTGTGCAGTAATGAAGATGTTGTGGGGTGGGGCTGGTGACAGGTCAGATACAGACAAATATACTGACTTGACTCAGAAACTATGGAATATTAATAGGGGATGCTTGCATTACTTAACCAGACAACTGCTTTAACACCCAGTCCACCTTCTGACTATACAATGTGTTCAGGAACTTAAAAAGAAAAACACCTGCTAGTGCTATTTATAAATTGAAACACGTTTCAATTTGTGGTCAGATGCGAACAGAAATAATGGGATTACTTCCCTTGAAATGAGTCAATTGCCTCAATTTCTCAAATTTCTAGCATTCTGCTCCTTGAACAAGTAAGAAGAGGAGTCTCAGAATAGAGGATTTAGCATCCCATCCTGAAGAAATTTCATGATCATAATATTCCTTTCTTCTGATCCAGGATTTTGAGATGGAAAAAGCAAAGTTTATATAGTTTACAAATAGCTGCCTTGACCTTAGATGCTGCAATATAACCATCATACTCTTTTTCCCAAACTATGGGAAAGCTCCTTTTATTCATACTTTCATGCTGTCGCTAATGTCGGTGCTTTTGCTAAGTATATATAAAACGTCTTTTTGAATGTAAAGGTATTGCTTCAATATTAAAATCCAGAGGAGCAGCTTTTATTCCTTAACTCAGTGGCTATGTCTAGATTGGCATGATTTTCCGGAAATGCCTTTAACGGAAAAGGTTTCCGTTAAAAGCATTTTTGGAACAGAGCGTCTAGATTGGCACGGACGCTTTTCCGCAAAAGCACTTTTTGCAGAAAAGCATCCGTGGCCAATCTAGACGCGCTTTTGCACAAAGCAAATCTCAGCTGTCTACACTGGCCCTTTTGCGCAAAAGTTTTGCGCAAAAGGGACTTTTGCCCGAACAGGAGCAGCATAGTATTTCCGCAAAAAGCACTGATTTCTTACAGTAGGAAGTCAGTGATTTTGCAGAAATTCAAGCGGCCAGTGTAGACAGCTGGCTAGTTTTTTCTGGAAAAGCAGCTGATTTTCCGGAAAAACTGGCCAGTCTAGACACAGCCAGTAAGATGGTAAAGTAATTCAGAAATAAAAATACAAGAATTTCCTGGGGGTATTGAGTCTGATCACTTTTGTGTGTTTAGTTATCTTTGTGGAAGATTGACTTATTTTATTTGCTTTAAATGTATTGATGCTAATTCATTATAGGAGGTAGTGAAGCAGCATGTGGGGCGTGTGTGGTGTTTTTGTTTGGTTTTTTTTTGGTCTCTTCTCTCTCTTAGGGGAAAGCTGGGGACATGCTGCTACCATCCGTTTAATATTCCACTGGGACAACAAACAGAGGTAAGTGAAAGTCTAGGCAATAGATTTACAAAGTGTGCTTACTGCATATATTGTATTTGAGAATCTTTTAGGCTGAATCCAGTGAGCAAGTGAGATCTGAGTTTGATTTCAGGTCTTGGTGTCTTATTCTCTGAGCTGGAAGGGCCCAGGAGTGCTACAACAGTTAGGTCAGCCCTTCAGTAAGGTGAGCACCATTCTGACAGACTCCTCCCTCCCCATGTGATCAGAATGCTGCAGTGTTACACTCTGTGTTTGACAGGATGTCATGTAGCATCCAAATGTCACAATCTGGTGACAGCTCATCAGCCTCACGAGCTATTTGGAGACTGGTGAATAAAAAATACTTGGCATTTATCATTCTCTTCATCCATGGACCTTAAAAAGTTTCTCTCTCAGTGTAGACCTGGCCTTAGTGAAAGTTAACTTAAGATACACAACTCCAACTATGTACGTCTACACAGCAGGCAGTTATTTCAAAATAATATCAAAATACTGTCAAGCTGGAGGGCTTCTTACTCCGACTCCTGTAACTTTCAGTATATAAGGAGTAAGGGAAGTCAGAGGAAGAGTGCTCTATTTTGAAATTAGCTACGCAATTGACACAGCTCAATTTGCATAGCTTATTTCAAGTTAAGCCCTGCTGTGTTGACACATCCGATGTGAATAGCGTAGCTGTAGTTGACATACCTTAAGCCAAATTTCTGCAGTCCCCAGAGCAGGAGGTCAACGGGAGAAACTCTCCCATTGACTTCCCTTACTCCTCGTGACCCTGTGGAGTACCAGAGTTGATGGGGATGCAGATTGTGGTAGATTTAGCAGGTCTTTATAAGACCTGCTAGTTGAACCCTGGAAGATTGATCTCTGGCTAGTTGATCTTTGAGTTAGTGTAGACAAACCCTAAATAAGGAAATGGGGCAGGAACAGTGTTCCTGCACTTTTGAGCTCTTTTTATACTCACATGTAGTGCATGTGAAGTCACACCACGTAGCAGGTGCCATATTATGTGAATGCACTGTAGGAAGAATGATAGTGTGTGACTCCAGGAGGATGAAATCATGCCAGTAGGGGACCAGTGGGAGTATAGTGCCTGTATTTTTTTAAGAAACAGGACAAACTTGGGAGGGGCAAAAGGGAGGGAAGGGAAACGGACTCACAAAAGAAGTTTTGTGTGACTTTGGCAAATCAGTGTGTTCAGCACTTAGCACAGGGGCTCTGAAACTTTACTGCACGGTGATCCCCTTCTGACAATAAAAATTACTACCCCATGAAGGGGTGTGTGAGGAGGGGGGGACAAAAGTCAGAGTATGGGTGGTAGGAATTGGGCTTTTGCCCACAGCAGTAGGGCTCGGGCTTTGGTCCCAGGCCCCAGCAAATTTAATGCCAGCCCTGGTGACCCCATTAAAATGGGTTTGTGACCAACTTTAGGAAAGAGGATGACTCCTACCACTACCTCAGGGAGCAGTTTGACTTTCATCTTCTGTCTTCTGCAATGTGACTCTGATATGCCCCGTCCCCCACACACACATTCTTCTTTTTTCCTTCCTTCCTGTACGGTCCTAGCTCACTTCTGTTATGTGTAAGGATGTTGAATTGCAGTTATCTGGCTAATCATCTAGTCAATACAACTTGTATTGACTACACAATTAGTCGATAAGGAGCCGCTCTGCAGAGCTGCAACGGGGGCCCTAGCTCGCACTGGATACAGGAGCCACCTGCGCTGCGGCTCTGTATTTTAAATGTCGTAAGAGCTGCTGGGCTCTTACTATATTTAAAATGCAGAGGTGCAGCGTCCCAGACCAGTGAGAGCCGGGACTGCTTGGTCCCAGCTCACACTGAGTCCAGCAGCAGCCCGTTCGTGGTGGCCAGGGCTGGCCGCGGCCAGGAGCTGCTGCTATAGCAGCCCCTATGCACAGCCAGCCCCGGCCACCATGAACAGGGGCTGCTTGGTGGTAGCAGCCCATCCCTTCCTGCTGGGACCCCCTCAGACAGGGGCTGCTGCTGGAGCAGCCTCTGTCTGCGGCAAGCCTCTGCCCGCAGCGAGTAGAGGCTGCTCCCCTGCAGCCTCTCCCATCTTCTCCCTCCCACTACCTCTAATAGAGGCAGCAGGGGATGGAGGCTGGTTGGAGCACAGAGATGGTGCTAGGAGGAACCGGTTTTTAAGCCGGCTTCTCCCAGCACCCGCTCCTGTCCCGTCCCCCCGCTGCCTCTCATACAGAGGCAGCAAGGAGAGGGAAGTGAGTAGCTGAGTACTTCACTCGACTACTCACTAACATGCCTAGTTATATGTTCACTTGACTTTGTCTTGCACATAATATGAGTGTGTAGATACAACAGTGGCAGCTTGAAACCTCCCTTCTCTTTAATCCTCTGCAATCAACAAACTAGACAAGCTGGTTGGGATTTTTTTTTTAATTGTGGAGAAAGAGCTGAGAGGTTTTTCTGTATTTGAGAGAAACATGGAGTGATTACACCAGGCTGTTTGTTTTGGAGTTAACATTCCTGATCAGCCAAAAAGCCCTTAGGAAGAGGGAAGTTGCATCAGAATGTGAACTCCAGATGGAACAAAAGTTTTTAATCATATAGTCCCTGAAAATAAACTTTTCAGTGACATTGTGAGGCCTGCCTTCCTTCCTGAACCCACTAGAAAGACTGAGCTATATTTAACAGATTAAACAGAAGAGGTCAATATGCATAGAACAGCATTCTTCTTTGTCTTTATATGTGGCATGCATCGCCTTATGGAAAGTGACCTGCAAATCTATTATAGTTTTGCGTGCTGTGGTGTTTACTATTTTAGATATGCTGCAAACTGCAATAAACAAATTCTGTTGTACCTGTAAATGATCCAGATACTGCTAACAATCCACGTAGCTCTGCTGTCTTTGTTTCTATAGCTGTTATTATGTAGCTCACGTGCCTGTTAGTGTCTTCCTGCCTTGTCCATTATTCTTTATTTAAACATGATACCTGCCTCTCTCTCTCCACGCCACCAGCACTGAGAAACTTCAGAGGTTAATTACAGTGGGGCTTGTTGCTGTGAGAACAGATCCCATTGACTCGGAGGGAGCCAGTAGAACTCCAATAAGTGCCATAAAAACATGACTTATGCTGCTTGAGATTTAGGCTATTTTGTAAAATACAGCCCCCCACTTCTAACTGTTCTAAGGAATTCCCTGTATAGTTAATATGAAGTGGCAATCGTCTCAAGCTGTAATTACATGCTCCCTAATAAAATGGCACCTAAGCAGGGGGAGGCAAAACACTAAAAATAATTAACAGGATCCTTGGCAGGGTATCAGTGTGGAAGGTGACAAATGTTGCAAAGCAGAACTTTTTCCTTATCAGTTTTTCAGTGGAGGGTGTAAGCTTAGGGGAGGTATGCATTGCCAGGGCTCATGGGTCAAAATTTTTTGCTGTTCAGATTTTGGGGTTTTTTGGTATTACAGAAGTATGTGGTGGCCCCAGCCAAGATTGGGACTCCGTTGTGCTGGGTACTATACTGAAATACAAAGAGTGTTACTGCTGCAGAAAGCTTATATCTAAATAGAATGACACAGAGTGGGAGGGCTAACAGGCACAGACGGAGGAAGTAGGAATGAAAAATTTTGATTAATTAATAGAATAGTCGTTGGGATTTCCATCAACTATTTGATTAGTTAAGAATTTCCACATTCTGCTTTTGAAATGTACCAGAGCCCCAGTGGGGGCTCTTGTGCATTTCAAAGTTAGAATGCGGTGTGGAGCCTGGGGCCAGCTCACCCAGGGCTCCACGCTGAGGGCCAGCTTAGAAATATACAACAGCCCCAGCGAGAACTCTTGTACATTTCAAAGTTGGCCACTGCTGTGCCTCTGCCACTTCCCATGGAGCTGGGGGGAGCTGGCTCTTAAGCAGGCCCTCTCCAGCATCCTTTCCTCTTCTCTCTCCCCCTCCCCCCCATCTCTTTGTGATAGAGGTAGCAAGAGGAGGGGAGGGGGGAGAAGCGACTAGTCAACTAGGGTATGTCTACACTACCCTCCTAGTTTCACGAGGAGTAACGGTAGTTCGGAATAGGACCCTAGTCCGAACTACCTAGTTCGAGCCCCGTGTAGCCGCGCTACACGGGGTTCGAAGCAGCGGGGATTTAAAAATGGCGGCTCCCCGCTTATGCTAATGAAGCCCGGGAAATTCAAATCCCGGGCTTCATTAGCAAGTGCGGTATGCATACATTACCCCGCTATGTAGACATACCCCTAGAGTGTAGACCATCTGATAAGCTTTTGCTTATCAGATAGTGGATTAGTCACTTCCTAGGAGGAAATAGTATGCCCAAGGTCACACAGGTCAGTGGGAAGGCTAGGACAAAACACAGGTCTCCTGTGTCCTAAGCCAGTGCCCTAGCCACTGCATTATATGTATAAACCTGAGAAACGTCTGGGAAAAGAGTCTTGCTTGTTGGAACATACTAGATACAATTAAAGCTGCCTCTTTCATCTGTTTCTCAAGGGCAAATCTATTGCTCAATGGAAAGAAACAGAATTGTACTACATATTTTTCGAAGTGAAACACTTCCCTTATCTACATAGGGCCAACAACATGTACACATAAGAAAGGAAGCAAGGTCTCTGCCCTCAAGTGTACTCAGTCTAAACAAAGTGCTTTGCACCCAGAATTCCCATTGAGAATAGGGATGTGAATGTTTAACTGGTTAACTTCACCCTTAATGTAGGCAGGGGGTTTTCCAATCTGGCTGGAGCAGCCCCTGCCCATGATGGGTCAGAACTGAGCCCACCACAGGTAGGGTGCTCCAGCCTGGTTTAATCGGTTAACTAACTGAGATTTTACATTTCTAAATGAGAATAGTGCTGCAACTCTTGAAAATGCTGCTCTTTTATTTAGAAACTTAAATTGGAGCTGTTGAATGTGATGCTCTTCTGAAAATATAAAATTATTTTATATTACACTTTGAAATCTTAGGAAACCTATCCTGCTAAAAGATTTAGCAATGCTAACAAAATCTGTTTTGTTTGACCAGATTGGCAACACTGTACAAATCACCGAGCCAGAAGGAGTCGACTGTACCTTTCCACATTACAGTTAGTATTCATTTTGGGGTGGAGATTCAGAGTTGGGAGGAGGGGTTTGTCCAAAAGGGAGCTTGCAAGAGTGTGTATACAGTTTTGAGGGCATAGTTTGGTCCTTTAGGACATTGTGTTTGAGACACAAAGCTGAGTGACAAAATACATATTGTAATATTTTGCCTTTATGAAGTATTGTAAGATGTACAGATCCAAAATACTATATAGGTACAAAAGTGTAAGTTCTGGTCAGATGAAATGTTATTTGGATAGCTAAATATAGTAATTGTTTGTTACAGGTGCTCATTTTTTTGCAGATTTTTAATGGTGTCCATAATACATCAAGTTTTCATAGTGAACAGAAATCAAAGTTTCTGTTCACTCCATTTATAAATCTTTAAAGAAAAAGGTCACTTAAATCTTATATTTTAAACCTCTAGTCATATTTCCAGGTGCTTTTTTCCCCTGTCTGATTTATTTTATAAAATAGATCCGTTCTACTTCTTCCCTCCATGCACATCCACACAATCTGAAAATGCAGCTGTCAAATGCATGGTTATCAAAGATTTAGATTATTAAATTTTAGATTATCCAGGTGATGTCCTTTAGGTCTTGTTGAACTTCTTTAGCATAGAATTAAAAAGAGAAAAAATCTGTATCTGTTTCTTCCATTAGTGGTAGCTAGTCATCCTATGTACCCATTCTTAAATATCATCTTAGTAGCTAGACATTCAATGCTGTAAAAACATGATTGAACATATCTGCACCAAGATACAAAAAGCTGGTCATATAGGCCAATGTTTCCCAACCTTTTTTATAAACTGTCAGGGAGACTGCAAGGATTGGGACTAGTTCACACACTTGTCATTGAGAAACACTTACAGAGACTGCCATGCCTGCAAATGGTCAGACAGAAAGGTGTGGTCTGAGGCTGAGGCTAGTAATTAGCTGTTTCACAGGGGTTTTATGGATTTGTTAATTAATGCTGTAAGTGCTGTGAATTTCAGCATGAAATTTCATATAACTTTCCCAGATTTAGTCATTTTGTAGTTTACCAATGGAAGATTTGCTTTTCAGAATTTCAGATTGTGTCAATGAATGTTTAATTTCTGTGAAAACAAGCATTCCAGGACTGATGATGAAGTTCCCATTCCACTGGTTTATAAAGTTAACTATCCTTAGTGATTCTATTGTCTGTGGAATAGGGTCAGATTAAAGAATAGCTCACTGGGATGATGTTATCCTTGTCTAAAAGTACTAATATACTTCATCAAGCTATACAAGAATGGTAGCACTTATCTGATAACTGAAAAGCATGAGGCTGAAAGCCCAAGTACTTTCAACAGACACACAAGGTATCAAAGAATGTCATATAGCCATATCACTGCTTACATAACTAGTGGAATGCTTCATCTAGGAGCCTAGTGTGTTAGACTAAAGGAATTCTTGGATTCAGATCAATCTTTGTGCTGAGGGAAAATGGCAGAGAATAGATGAAAGCATTAGTGAACCACTAAACTTTAAGATTCCCCATTTTACAGTTTTGAAGAACACTTGAGATGCTTAAAATAGCAGCTGGACCATACAAATTCTGCCCTTATGTGATCTTTTTCTTTTTTTTAATTTTTAAAAATAAAAAAAGACTCAGCAACCCGTGTGTGGTGAGACATTTAGAAATACACAAGAGCTATACAGATTAGAGTTCAGTCAAAACCTTTTTACTGGCTTCGTTTCACGGATTGAATTGGCCTTGCAAAAAGGACCCACTGGCATTTTATAAAAGTCATGCACTTGATAGTAATTCTACCTGATTTTTCACATTGCACCATCCTGAAATGTCAACTTTTCAGAAATGCTCTCAGCTTCTCCTTAAGCATTCAAGATCCTGGCAGCAATTTTTCCTCCTGATTAACCCTTTTACCTTTCTAATACCCTGCATTGTAGTCATCATCCTTCCATCAGAGAACAATTGTGAGTGTCCACACAGACTCTTCACTATCTGGAGAGGATGGTGTGAGAGAGCTTTCTGCATAGCATTGTCTGGAGACAGGAAGCTAGAGGGCCAAATCCAGGGCACCCGCTTCACAGTGTACAATATCTCTTTTCCTGACATGCATGTTTCTGAAATGTTCTTTGATACACATACTTAACAAATTCATTTTCTAGACCTTTATTATGTGTAAACTTTTTTAATGTGAGAAACACTGAACCATGAGTTAATCCTAAAGAAAATGCTACTGATGCTACTAAATAAATGAATCCTCACTCTAAGATCTCTTTTACGTTCAGTATGTCTGTTTTTGATCACTTCCACATTCAGGCTTTGCAGATGAGATACATCTCAGCATACCTCAACTTATAGTTATTGGCTATGAGCGCTCTTATTCTTGTAGTCATGATCTAAGCAATCTGATAAGACAGATTCAGATATGCTTTTCTGGAACAATTTGGTGTCTTGTTGCAGTTTTCAGATTTTTTTTAAAAAAAAGTTTGTCCTGGGGTTTAAAAGTTCCCATTTTTGAGTGCATGTATGATTCTAGTACTGAATCCTTCAGTGCTTATGTCTCACTTCTGAATCAGTTTTGCTTGAGAAAGAATTGAAGGATTTGGCATTCATTAGGCAGTAGAAGTCAATTTACAGAGTAGCAGTGTTCCATAAGCCATAGTGGTGATTACTGACAAAAGCAAAATTAAACCCTCATTCGAGACAGGAAAATATCTTTGAGCTCCCCTCATTTTACTCTTACTTGGCCAGTACATTGAAGAACTTCCTTATAATTCTGATTTTTAGCCTGAATTAGGAACACCATCACTTATTTTAGAGAAGTGATAGAAATGTGGGTCTGGCCCACGAAAGCTCATCATCTAATAAACCATCTTGTTAGTCTTTAAAGTGTTACATTGTCCTGCATTTTGCTTTATTTTAGAGAAGTTGTTTATTTTCTGACCTACTCATTTTCACCATTATGAGATCAGTCTGGTCCATTGTTGTTCTTGTTTTTGTTTGTATCTTACAGCCTAATGGCTTCCGGGATGTGCATCCTCCACCTTCAAGCCAGACCCCAGCAGAAATTGAAATTAACCCTCGAAAACGACCACGGCTAGAAGGGGAAAACCAGTGATACAAAGGCTAAACTTCAATAAATGTATTGCACATGAGTATTTACATTATAAACATGGGTCCAACATCCAGAGGTGCCTAAGAGACTCTCTTTGACCAAAACTGCTGTCCCAAATTCATTTAATATTAAATCCAATATATACAACATTGTGCATGGCATTGCCATTAAAATTACAACTTGGCTTTGTTAATAAATGTTTTCTACAACCAGGGGCTTCAGCTTCTTTAATTGAAGAATATTACATCTCCTGTTACTTGTTTGTCTGAGCACAAAAGAGAGATGCACTTCTCCGTGGAACAATGGGATCTGATTCAGTACATCTATATCAAATTATCTTGATCATGAATTTGCAGCTGAACTTCAGTAGGGCTCTATGCACTGGTCTGTCCATAACAAACATGCTGCAGGATAAGTCACTGGAACTAAAGAACCTGTTTAAAGATAAGAATGTGTTAAAAGTGCTGTGCTAAATCACAGCTTTAGTCCTTAACTACTGAGACATTCCTGTTGGAAACTAATCAAAGCTCTCTAACACCAGAAGAATTTGTTACTGGCTGTGGTCACAGACCACATACAGCGCACAGACATAGGAATTGCTACACTGGATAAGACCCAATTTTGATTAATGGAAACCATTCTGAGGTTTAATCTACGTGGCTGGATCGTCTTCAGCCTTTGTTTTGCCTTTCTTCTAATAAAGGATTTAGTATGATGATCCTAATCGCCTGGCCATGTTTTGTTTGGATCCTAATATAATTTAGAGAAGAAATATGGGTTTCTTAAAAGCCAGCAAAATACAGTACTAGCACGCAAATCTAAATTGAAGGGAAGAACATAAATTTACCCACTGAAAATGCAGCAAAGATCTGTTCTCTTTCCAGAAAATAAGCTGATTGGATGGCTGCACAGCAATTCAAAATATTAATTATTGCAAGAACATGAGAGTGCATGTTATAAGGTTTAGATACAAATATTTACATTAAAGGGAGCATGTATATATTGCTTGACACCTTTGCAGCACAGAACTTGCTAACATGATTGCTGGGAAAACCTAACCAGCAGCCTAAATATGAGATTCAAGTTGTGGGAGTCAGTAGCTATAATTTTTAATTTAGTAATTCATCCTAAAATTGACTTTGCTTTGAAACAAAATTCAGTGCTGAATGTGAGTCACATAACCTCCTTTATTTAAAATGCTGAAAAAGAGTGGCAGTGATTTCTGAATCATTATAGTGCTTAGATGTAATTTGCATAATAAAACTCAGGGAAAAAATATTCATGTGCCATCATGAGAATCAGGTATTGTGAAAATTAAATATCCATGAATCCAGGAGAGAGCTGTCAAGCAGCAAGTTGCAGAGGAAGAAAGACGGCGGGGCTTTGTGACTCAAACATTGGAATGCAGGAGACACAGACAAACAAAAAGGATTCTACCGCATCTGATGTCAGCAACCAAATGCTTCATTTGGGAATAATAGCTTCCTATGTCTTGCAATGCTAGAGAAGGGGGTGTCTGGCACAGTGCGCGTGCCTGATTAGCCATGTGGAAAACAGCATTGATTAAGGGTCTTATAGCAACATATTAAAAGGTACTGTGGTTATTTGATGTATATGCTGATGGCTGCTACTCTGTAAGGATATTTATGAAAAAAAATTGTCAAATTAATTTACTTTATTCTAGTTTAAAGAATGCATTTTCTCTATCTCCAAGGGGAATATTTAAAGAGCTCTCATGTAATGCTAAATTCAGCTTTTTTTATTACAATGATGATTACAGTATCACTTGGAGATTCCACCTGAGACCAGGGCTATGTTAGGTATTGTACATAGTATAGAGTGGCCACCAACCTAAAAGTAGATTTTGGAGCCAGTTGCTGCTCCAGCCGCTGCCATGCTGCTCCTGCCCTCTGCCTTGGAGCTGCCCCCTCTGGGAACCTCCTGCTTGCTGTGCAGGATGAGGGAGGGAGAAAGGGGAGCTGCTGATGTCAGGGGGTCCCTCTTCCCCCCACTGCTTTACTCTCTCCACACAGAGAAGGGGATGGAGGGAGCTCGGCAATGCAAATCTGTCACACACACATTGGCTATGTCTACACTGGCCCCTTTTCCGGAAGGGGCATGTAAATTTCACCTATCGTAGTAGGGAAATCCGCGGGGGATTTAAATAAAGTAGGAATAAGACCCTCCGGAAAAGGGCACTTTTTCCGGAGGATCGGGGCCAGTGTAGACGCTCTTTTCCGGCTTTTTTAAAAGCCGGAAAAAAGCGGCGGACATTTTTATTTAAATGCCGCGGGGGATATTTAAATCCCCCGCGGATTTCCCTACTACGATAGGTGAAATTTACATGCCCCTTCCGGAAAAGGGGCCAGTGTAGACGAGCCCATTGTGTGCCTCTGTCATTCTCACAGACACATACTGTCCTTCCCTCTCATCTCCCGACTCAACACACACATGGGGGGTGGTTGTTACATCTGTTAATGGTTGTGAAGTGGGTTATTCTTGTTTGACTGGTCTGTGCATTTCATCATTTTCATTTTTCTCTTATGCTTAAATTTAATTCTTTTGAGTAGTGAGTTCTCAAATGCCTAATCTGTCATGGCTGGGGTCATTATCTGTATGGTAACTGCTGCTCCTGGAAGTGGCTGGCATGTCCCTGCAGCCCCTGAAAGAGGCAAAGCAGGGTGTCTCCACATGCTGTCTATGCCTGCAGACACCACTCCTACAGCTGCTATTGATCAATAATGGGGATCTGGACTGTGGCCTGTAGAAGCTGTGGGCTCAGTGCCTGTAGATATGGAGAAGCACATGGCACCATGGAGTCATTGCTGTACATGCCAGTTGCTTTCAGGACTAGTGCAGGGCCAGGGTGGGAGTAAGCCTGCCTTAACCCCACAGCTCTACCACCCGGATGTCTTCTCAGGCTATGTCTAGACTGCGGGCTTCTTTCAGAAGAACCTTTTTTTGGAAGAGCTCTTCC